TTCTTTCACCTAGTTAGCTTTTCACATACTGAGCCCCTGTTTGAGGCCAATTTTTTCCAAAACTCATTTTCGATCACATTCTCCCGTAAAAAAAATTTTTACACGTAAGCTCAAAATATTTCCATATTTTTTAGTCACGCTTTCTTAGAAAAATAACTATTCTAAAACACATTTTTTTTCAAAAAGAAAAAATGAAGGGGGGTGGGGGGGGTGGGGGGTCATCTTGCTAATTAAAAGCTTTAAATTGCACCAATGATCGTACAATATTTTTGGGCATGTTTACATTCTTGTGTATGGGTGGGGGTAGACAAATTAGTTAATGTTAACAAAATTAGTGGCATGTCTTTATCAACTGTCTTTAATCACTTCCACACGCACACACATAAAAAAATACACACAAAAATAATTATTGTCTGATGTCGAATGTTACAGGAGACGATGGGGTTTTTCATCTGGAGAAGTCTAGCAACTACAAAACGCATCCCAAGGTGCCGACTCTGCGAATGGCTCGAGCTCTAGGAAACCGCCTTCTAAGAAGAAAAGAAACTTACCAGGAACTCCGGGTAATTCAATAACTTATAAATTTCTTGACCTACAGATAATGAAGTTTAGGCTAAATATTATCCAACTTATGTTGTAGCTTAGATGAATGTGTTTTCCAGAAGGTGCATCAAAATAGTTGAATCTACAACTTGTATAATCTTGGAAACATAAGGTGCATTTGGTACACAAATTGAGTAGTACTAAACAATACTAAGAAATGAAAATGAGCTAAAATCTTATTTATCATAATATCCATTATTGTGTAGCAACTCGTACAACAAGACTTCAGCCTTTTAGGTTCTTTTATGCGAATATAAAGTTCATTTTGTTCAACATGAAGTGAGAAACAACAACAAATTAAACATTTCATTTCCTAACAATTTTGAGATGGACTACATAGATCTAGCAGTGTTGTCACGAGAAAATCCTAATGTTGACGTAAAAAATCTGATGATCAATATCCTCGAGATTCGTGAAAAGCACGTTGAAGGTGATGCTGAGGTCGTCTAGTTGCAACCATATTGATTGTTCAACGGTTTTTGATGTCAACACTCGCTAAACAGTAATCATTACTTAAAAATGGGGCAATAATTTTGAGTAATGATATTCATAGTAAATACCACTTTTAATCATTCTACATACACATGGTTGTTTGTTGTTTGATTAATTCTTTCATGCATCAAATAATAAATTGCCATGTGTATAATATATAGGACAACTATCGGTAATTTTCATTATGAGTATCATTATTCTAATTTTATACATGATTAATACTATAATTGCTCACACTCTTATTGATTGAACTTCCCACCCCCTTTGTGTCCATGTGATCATGGATGTCTTATTGAGACCCCATTTGGTAGAAATTAAAATAAGACTTTTAGTAGATTTTGATAAAAATTGATAAAATATGTGGTTGAAAAGTGTGGATCCGATGAAATGTGTGGTTAAAATTAATTGTTGACTTTGACTTGAGAGTTTAATTGGATTTTAATCCGAACCAAACATGGGCTGAATTTGTTTTTGTTTTTCTAAACACACACTGGGATTAATAATCAAACTATGATTTAATTATATTTATTTTTATATTATGAAGATCCAACTGCAGATATTATAGCTCTATCAGCAAAAACCCTAATGGCAACAAACAGATTTGTGTGTGAAATATGCAACAAGGGATTTCAGAGAGATCAAAATCTGCAACTGCATAGAAGGGGTCATAATCTTCCCTGGAAGCTTAAGCAAAGAACATTCGAGTAGTTGAGAAAGCGAGTTTATATATGTTCGGAGCCGAATTACGTGCACAATAATCCGGCGGGTGCATTAGGCGATCTCACCGGAATCAAGAAGCATTATAGCCGAAAACATGGAGAGAAGAAATGGAAGTGTGAAAAATGTTCAAAGAAATATGCAGTGCAGTCTGATTGGAAGCTCACCAAAAGACTTGTGGAACTAGGGAATATAAATGTGATTGTG